AAGGGGCGGGTGAAGGGGTGTGTGGTGGGGGCAGGCTGCCCCAGGTGTCACCACTGAGTGGGGTGACAAAATGCCATGCGGCATTCACCGCGGGGCCTGCAGCGCACCCGAGCCACGTTTCTCTGCGCTGCCCAAACAGTCCACCCGCTGCCTCCCCCCCTCCCAGCTGTAGGGCAGCTGAGTGGGAGGAGGCAGGCAGACTCCAGAGGCCCCACCCCTATGGGTGGCTCGCCCCGCCCCTCTGGCAAGGGTTACTTCTGGGTTTCGGCGGTTGCACATGCGCAGAAGCACTTAATTGTGCTTTGCGCATGTGCAGAAGTGCCAAATTGCAACCCACGCATGCGCAGACGCATGCATGTTGCAAACACTGCGGGTTGCAAATGTGCATCCCGTGTGGATCACGTTCGCAACCCGAGTGTCCACTGTATTTCAGGTGCCAGGAAGAAGAAGAAGAAGAAGAGTTTGGATTTGATATCCCGCCTTTCACTCCCCTTCAGGAGTCTCAAAGCGGCTAACAATCTCCTTTCTCTTCCTCCCCCACAACAAACACTCTGTGGGGTGAGTGGGGCTGAGAGACTTCAAAGAAGTGTGACTGGCCCAAGGTCACCCAGCAGCTGCATGTGGAGGAGCGGAGACGCGAACCCGGTTCCCCAGATTACGTGACTACCGCTCTTAACCACTACACCACACTGGCTCTTGAGTTGTGATCCCTCTCACTCCTGGCTTGTGCTCTTCTCAGTTGGAACCAAATGTCACTAGGGCAGGCTATCGGGGGGCGGGGGTGAAAATGCAAAGCTGAGTTGACAGGAGTGGATGTGCAGGCATGTGGCATAGAGGCAGAAGGGCTTTGATGCCCTGCGTTTCCCAAGCAAGCAGAACTAGCAAACAACACAGAACAGAATGGACAGGAGCAAATGGATACATCGCTTCAGCATCCCTCCCCCAAAGCACTGTGGTCGGAAATCCCTGGTAGAGGGGTTTTCTCTCATCAGAGGCGAGGCCTGTCAGTCGCAGAAAGGCCTCTCTCCTCCTCTCCCCCCCCCCCATATTTGCATTTTTCTTTTATGACGAGCTTCGAGACAAACGTTTCCGTTTCTGAGAAACTGAGAGAAACCAGAACAGACAGGTTTGTGGCTGCTGCCAGAGATTCTTTAGCCGTGGTTCCTGCATTGCCGAGGGTTGGACCAGATGACCCCTGGAGGTCCCTTCCAGCTGGACAATTGCATGATTCTTTCCACTCCTACGTGTTCTTCCCAAAGAGCTGGTTCCCTAAGGATTCTTCAAGGTCTGGCAGCTGCCATCCAAAAATACACCCCCCCCACTTTCAGCCAGAAAGTGCATTTTCACACCAAGTTGTTATCAGTGCAGTGCACAGCATCTCATTCCCCGAGAACTATAATTTTCAAAATTCAATACCGGCCAAGAAAATTGCAGAAATCCATGTCCCGTAAGAAGGCGGCATCAACTGGCAGGTAAGCATCGGCCATACAGGTACATGTTTTGAGCAGAAATGAGAGGGGAAATAATAATGCCATTGTTTCTCAGGATGGAGACAGTTTGTCTCAGGCAGGGCTGGAGAGGCAGAACCCAATCCTGTTTTCTTCTAGCCCTGTGGGTGCAAGGAGATTCCCTGCATGAAACTCCCTCACGAGCCCCATGTCTGATCCACCTTGGGGACTGAAAAGTGCCCCATCGCCTGACATCATTGTGACATCAGGGGATTGGCAGGTGGGAAGCCCCACCCACCTGTCAAATTTGGCCCACAAAGCAGGAGAAGGTTCCCTACAACTGGTCTAAGGGAGCTGAAAGCGATATGGCAGGACTTCTGCCTATCATGTCTTCCTCTCACCCCATCATTTGCGCTACAGAAAAGATTTTGCAGGGATCTTAGGCACTCCAGACCATGGGTGATAGCGGTGCCACCCATGGACAGCAGCCTCCCACAATCTCAGGCTGATATCTGAGCTTTGCCACAATGTGAAAACCACTCACAGAAACAGAGAGCCACTCATAGGAGTGTTCATTGCAAATATATTTCTTTTGTGGAAGCAAATCACATGGAAGTTGTGCCGGATAGAGAGTTCTTTTTCCAGAAATGGCTGTTGCATCGTATGAAAGCTCAGACATAACGTGGAAATGAACAGCTGGGGGAAAGCCAGGAGAATGCCAGAAACTGCCGTGTGGATGCAGCCTGGTCGAGAGGCAAAGTAAGGTGGATTGCACACATTTGCAGAGCCAGCTCTACCCTTGGGCAAAGGGAAGTGACTGCCTCAGGTGGTAGGTGTTTGGTGGGTGACAGCAGCAAGTTCCCCGGCTGTTCTTCCTAAATTCTCCTCACCGACAATTTCCTTCCAAGGGAGGACAGAGCTGGATATCCTCCACAGCATATCCTGCCCCACACACCCCAAACGAGCCTTGTGGGGTGGAAGATACTATCCCACTGCCAGTGTCGAAATAAGTTGCAGCTACATGTCCAGTTAGCTTCCATACATCTCATCCTTGGCTTCAGGTGGCAAAATGTCTAGCGCTGGCTCTGCACCTTTGGTTGCAGCAGAACTAGAGGATGGAGTGTCTTTAACTGTGGCTCCTTCATTTGCAGGGGGTTGGACTAGACGATTTTCTGGGTCCCTTCCAACTCTGCAATTCTAGGATTCTTGAGGCTGCACGGCAGAGATAGGGGACCTCTTTCAGCCCAACGGCCATGTTCCCTTCTGGACCACTTACCATGTGTGTGTGAGAGAGAGATGAGGAAAGCAGCAATAGCAAGAAGAGCAATGGCTGTAAATTTCACCCTTGAACAGTAGGCTATCTCAGTGGTTAGAGCACAAGACTCCTAACCTCAGGGTTGTGGGTTGGAGCCCCACGTTCACCAAACATTCCTGCATTCCAGGGGGTTGGACTAGATGACCCCAGAGTCCCTTCCAGCTCTACAGTTCTATGATTCTACAGAGGCCCACATGCCTTTCTCCGTCCTGTATCCAGGCAAGCAAGGACTCTTAAGAATGGTTCAAAGGCATGTCCTTCTGGGGGAGTCCTGAGGACCAGCTAGAGATGCCTGGGCAGCCCCTTGCCTCTGCTATACAGACTTGAGTAGCAGCCCCACTGCATGTAGAAATAGCTCTTTGGGGTGCAATTTTACCCTAGGAACACAGAGAGCTGCCTTATAATGAGTCAGACGGATGATCCATGTTGCTCATTTGTGTTTGACCACCAGCATCTCTTGAGGGATTCAACTTCTCCCTGTCTCTCCCAGTCTGACCTTGAGATGCTGGGGATTGAACTCAGGATCTTTGGGATGCAAGGCAGATCCGCTGCCGGTGAGTTACATCCCTTCCCTACATCCCTATATCCCTACAGCCTCGGCTACAGCCAGGCACTATTCATCTTTTACGAGACAAGAACAGCTTATGCGTCTGAGCAGGAGCTGCTCCCTCTGGGATATCCCTGCTTTCATTCCACATTATTCTCCGAAGATGTTTTCTGCATCTTTTTTTTTTTTAGACCCTGTTAAGATGCCCAGAGGCAGCATTAGGCTGTGGGCTATATCTAACCCACAGAGAATTCCCGCTCTGCTTCCATGCGGTAACTCACCTGAGTGTCAGTAGCTCTGGGCTGCAGACGAATGAAAGCATTTCCAGAGGGGAAGCTGAGGCAAGCCAGATATGTCCCACATTGCCTCTCCCTGCCTTAAATTGTATGAATCAGGAGCATGGCAGGGGAGGAGGGTTGAAAGGGAAATATTGTTTGTTTCTACCTCCAGCCGCAGGATTTTTAAGGAACGGAATGTGCAGGAGGTTGTCCTTAATTAGCTAACAAATGTATTATTTCATGATGATGTGTTTTACCCCACTCATACAGTGGCATGCAGAGATCAGTGAGAAGACAACCCCTGCCTTTGGGCTCACTACCTAAGAGACACGGCACAAAAGGAAAAGCGAAGGGAGGGAGGAGGAAAAAGCAAGCTCAGGCACTAACTCTTAGTAACAGAGGTTATGGCTCGAGTGAACAAATTTGAGGAGGAGCCCATAGCTGCTTGTCTTTCAGCTGAGCAGATGGAGTAGCCATGCAAAGTATTATTTGCTCCAAACTTTGCATTGGCTGCCAGTATACTACAGCTAAGTTCAAGGTGTTACTGCTATTGTATAAATTCCTAAAACCAGGTGACTTGAAGGACCACCTTGTCCTTTATACAGTGGAAAGGTTGCCACAGTCATCTCCAGAAGCCCTTCCGACTCTCCCAGCATATTATCAAATTCATTCCATTTCTATGCGAACCAAGGCTTTCAGCATGGCGGCAACCAGCACTTTTGGAGCACTGTTCCTTTTGAAATCAGACAGGCACCTGCAATCCTGATATTCCATTTCCCGCGGAAAGCATTTTGGCTTCGCTGAGCTGTGTTGGGAGAATTCCTTTGTTCTGTGTATTTTAAAATGTTCTATAATGAGTTTTATCGCACACGACCCATATATATTATATAAATTGGTGATTTTTAATATTTTTTGCAAAATAAGTAAATTAAATAAAACTTTGGAGTCCTGAAACTGTATTTGCCTGGCACCTGCTTCAAATAAAATAGGCAGGTGGTTTTTTTGTTTTGTTTTGTTTTTTTAAAAAACTACTTTATTTTCTCAGGTTTTAATCAATACATCGTGGCTGGGCTTTTTGAGCTGCTTTGGAACTGCTGTTGTCGCACGATGAATTGCTTTGTGCTGTATTCTCAGTTGTATCAAAATGTATATTGTAGCTGTTTTACAGCATTTTTAGTTAAAACAAAAACATCGCTCTCTCTCTCTCTCTTTCTATCATCCCTTCACCATCTGGTGCTCTAGCTACTTGGGCAGCTGGGGGGGGGGGTTGAGCAATAGGGTTAGTGGCACCCCTGAGAAGGCACGCAACCTGCTCAGCTAAAACCCCGGGGCGTTGCTGCCTTGTCCATTTGCCCCACGCCTTCGGGGCTGTGCGTGCCGAGCTCTGACTTTCTGCTTTTCCTCTTCTGCAGTGGGAAGAAGTGAGCGGCTACGACGAGAACATGAACACGATTCGGACTTACCAGGTGTGCAACGTCTTTGAATCCAGCCAGAACAACTGGCTGAGGACCAAGTTCATCCGCAGGAGGGGTGCCCACCGCATCCACGTGGAGATGAAGTTTTCGGTCCGGGACTGTAGCAGCATCCCCAACGTCCCTGGGTCCTGCAAGGAGACCTTCAACCTCTACTATTATGAGTCCGACTACGACGCCGCAACCAAGACGTTCCCCGCCTGGATGGAGAACCCCTGGGTGAAGGTGGACACCATTGCGGCAGACGAGAGCTTCTCCCAGGTGGACCTGGGGGGCCGCGTGATGAAGATAAACACCGAGGTGCGCAGCTTTGGGCCCGTTTCCAAGAATGGCTTTTACCTGGCCTTCCAGGACTACGGGGGCTGCATGTCCTTGATCGCCGTCCGCGTCTTCTACCGCAAGTGCCCTCGCATTATCCAGAACGGAGCTGTTTTCCAGGAGACGCTCTCGGGGGCCGAGAGCACGTCACTGGTAGCAGCTCGGGGTACTTGCATCCCCAACGCCGAAGAAGTGGATGTACCGATCAAGTTGTACTGTAACGGGGATGGGGAGTGGCTGGTCCCCATCGGGCGCTGCATGTGCAAGGCGGGCTACGAATCGGTGGAGAACGGGACGGTCTGCAGAGGTAAGATGACCTTCAATCAAGGGTCCATGTGGCTCCTCTATGGTGGGTGCATGGGGCAAGGAAAGGGAGCGGGAGTGGGATTCTCTGCCTCGTCTCATGTCAGGGAATGGTCTGAAGATGGAGAACTGGAGGGGGAAGAGTCACGCCTCTTAGCCACAGCGTATTCAGAAGCAGAGAGAGAGACAGGAGCTGAACAGCTTAGCGGGGAGTTATCTAGTTATGAGATTATGACAACAGAACCAGACAGGAGGGAGCAGCTAGTTGAAATGTCACTGCAGAGTGTGAGGGACCACCACGGACTCAGAGGTCTGAATGTATCAGAGAGCAAAGGAGTCAGAGGGAGGGAGGAACTTCCCATTGGCGCCCAAAATGCTGCGGAAATCAGAAGGAGTAGAGTTGAATAGCCAACTGCTCTCCTTGCGGAGAGCTGTGTATTTGTGCTCTCAACATGACGCTGTAATAAAAGGACTATAAATCTATCAACTGCTCGTTAATTCATATCTGTGAAGTTACTGAAGGGAGGGGAGGGCTCTCCATGCCTGACACCTCACGATGGACGGTCGATTTGGAATTGGCTCACTAAAAAGCTGTTGGGTCAAAGGGAGATGGTAGGAAGGACTCACAAAAAATGTAGCAAGTATATGCTTAAAATGCCAGGGTCATTTTATCACATGGGATGGTCCTGTGAAATGATGAAGGGCTTTGGGGAAATAATTGATATGGGAAATAATGAATTGAAAAGGATGTTTAAATTGATAAATCCCGAAAGCCTTTTTACTTGGAATAATGGGGACAGAGCTCCCAAGAAAGATGACAAGCTTATTTATATACAGTGGTACCTCGGGTTACGAACAGTCCTGCTTATGAATGCTTTGCGTTACGAACTCCACAAACCTGGAAGTAGGTGTCCCGGGTGATGAACTTTGCCCCGGGATATGAACGCAATCTGCTTCTGGGGCCATGAAAGGCCTATGTAGGGAATGCATACCTCGGGTTAAGAACGCTTCGGGTTAAGAGCAGACTTCCAGAACGTATTAAGTTTGTAACCCAAGGTACCACTGTACATGACAACAGCTGCTAGAACTTTTGTACGCACAGAACTGGAAAGGGAAAGGATGACCAAGTAAGAAGGAATGGCTTATGAAACTGATGAACTATGGTGAAATAGCAAAATTAACTGCCGGATTAAGAGGACATAATGACAGTGTTTAAGGAAGAATGGAGGTCACTGATGAATTATGTATCAAATTACCACCCCTGTAGGAAGTTGCAGGCAGGATTTGAAATATAAGCAGTGGATTATTGAAAGATTAAATGGTTTTAGGTTTAGATCAGGGGTCTGCAACCCGTGGCTCCGGAGCCGCATGTGGCTCTTTTACACCTTTGCCGCGACTCCGGGGCGGATACTAGCGAGGGGAGGAGGCGCATTGTGCGCCCCAACACTCCTCACTGTGGTGGGCGCTGTACTGGCTGTGACGTCGCATGGGGGCGGTGCATGCGTTAGTCATGCAACGTCCCGACATCACCTTCCCGTCCGCTGTCAGATCGCGGCTCCGGAGATATATTTGTTTTAAATGTCGCGATGGTTTTGCGGCTCCCAGTTGTTGTTTTTTCTTCGGAAACGGGTCCAAGTGGCTCTTTTTGTCTTAAAGGTTGCAGACCCCTGGTTTAGATAATAAAAAATATGTGTGTTATAAAGCACACTTTATTAAAAAGGAGTAAAAACAAACAAACATCAGGAAAGGAGGGCTAGGAAGTCAAGGAGAAACTTTGTATGTTAAAAAAATGTATATGCTGATAAATGCTTTGAAATATTTTTAGAGACTTCATAAAAATGATATAAAAGGGGGGGGGATAAGGGATAAGAAGTGGTGGTCGTCAGAACTTGATACAGAACCTGATTCAGTGGCTACCCATGTCCTCATAGAAGATGAAACAGTGTTGTTGCTGCATTTATATCATACCTCTTTCTCCAAGGAGTTCAAAGTGGCCCACATGGTTCTCCCCCTTGTCATTTAATCTCCACAACAACCCTGCAAGGTAGGGTAGGCTGAGAGACGCTACTTGCTCAAGGTCACCTAGTGAGTTTCATGGCTGAGTGGGGATTTCAACCCTGTGCACTCTGGTTTCCGCCATAGTGTTCTGTTGCACCAGAAGCGGTTTAGTCATGCTGGCCACATGACCCGGAAAGCTGTCTGTGGACAAACGCCGGCTCCCTCGGCCTGAAAGTGAGATGAGCACCGCAACCCCGTAGTTGCCTTTGCCTGGACTTAACCATCCAGGGGCCCTTTACCGTACCTTTACCTTGTCTCTTGAGAGGCAGTTCTGTGTTGTTGCCACTAAGTTCATGTGTCAAACAGCCATCCCATAATTTTTGGTGCTGCCTGTCAGTCTGGATGCTGGTGGTCAAGTCCAGGGTAGGGTAGGGAGCCTCCTTTGGCCCAAGGGTGGCATTCATGAGTGGGCAACCTTGCAGTGACCATATGCAGCAGATGAGATGCTTACCTTTATACTATAGGGTGCATTCTAGACATGAAAGAATTCAGAGGTTTGCACACAAACACACACAGAGAGACAGACAATACAGGAAGGCAGACACACCTCTGTGTAGGTAAGCCAGAGTCATTAAGGACATCTTCCAGCCAGGCACTTGAGGAGGTCATAGATCAAGGCCAACTAGAGGCATGGCCTGGGTAGAGTCCCAAGGGCCGGATGGAAAAGCTTGGAGGACCACATTCAGCTGGGTCTGCAGTCCCCCACCACTGACAGAAGAGGCAGGCCCCTGGACTCTGATCATGGCCAGCTCAGGTTTTGGCTGCAGCCCTCATTCAGGGTGCTTCTCCCTGTTCAGGAATGCCCAAAAGGCCCCCCAGGGAATGGCTTGGCAGACGTCAGACCTGAGTTGCCAAGCGCTGGGGTGGTCTGCCTTCTGGGAGACTCGGCCAGCCTTGAAGGAAGGGGGTTTCTTCCCTCTGGGCCCCTTTGGTGTGTGTGTATGTGTGTTTGTAGGGGGTGGGCGGCCCACCTCTGCTCCCCGACTTGCTGCGGACACCCATCCGCAGCAGCGCCGAGCGGCAGAGTTGCTTCGCAGCCTTTTGTCGCCGCCTGAGATAGCTCCCAGCTCCTTTAATTAAAGACAATTACTGCTTTCAGGCCCTCTCCCGGCTCAGCCGCCTTGTTTGCAAACACACAGCTGCGGGTGCTTTTGTGTCCCTCGCGCACACGCACACAGAAGCCTTCCTCCTCCCCCCTCCCCACCACAGCCACACAGAGCCGCCTCTATTATCGGCATCACAGTCCAGGCACCAATGAGACAGTAGCAGGTGGAGACCAAAGCTTTGCAGCAGCACAGGAGAAGAAAAAGACCCAGAAGGGTTGGATGCACTGTGTGTGTGAGTGTGTGTGTATGTGTTTGTGAATGCAGAATGGGGCTCCTGTACCTTTAACGGTGGTGTCGAAGGAAGAGGTTTCTGCAAGCATCAAGCGCTTTCATTTCTGCAGCCCTGCAACAGAATGAGCACTTCACATCTCTCTTCCTTCTGTGCAATGTTTAATGGGAGAGCACATAGGAACATGGGTAGCTGCCTTTTACGGAGCATTGCTCCACCAAGCTCAGTATCATCTGCCTTGACTGGCAATGGGCAATGGAATTCTGGGCTGCATCAATGGAATTGTAGTGTCCAGCTCAAGGGAAGTCATAGTCCTACTCTATTCCGCCGTGGTCAGACCACACCTGGAGTCCTGTGTCCATTTTGGGGTACCACAAGCTATGAAGGGCATTGACAAGCTGGAACGTGTGCAGAGGAGGGTGACCAAGGCGATCAAGGGTCTGGAAGCTGAGCCTTCTGAGGAAGCCAACTTGAAGAAGTTGGGTATGCTCAGCCTGGAGAAGTGAAGACTGAGAGATTAAATGATAGCAGTCTTCAAATATCCAAAGGGCTGTCACATGGCGAATGGAGCATGCTTGCTTTCTGCTGCTCCAGAGGGTAGGACCCAGACCAATGGATTCAAATTCCAAGAAAGGAGATTCTGACTAAATAGGAGGGAGAACTTTCTGACAGTCAGAATTGTTTCACAGTGGAATGGACTCCCTCAGAAGGTGGTGGACTCGCCTTCATTGGATTGTCCTATCCAATGCCCTTTTAAAATGTGGCTCTTTTTTGGAGCGGTGTTATTGGGTTGTTGTTTTTATTTTGATTATATATATTGTGGTTTTTATGTTGATCTTTTCAGTGAACCGCCCTGAGGCCTCTGGGTATAGGGTGGTACATAAATTATAATTATAATAAGAATAGTCCTCTGGCAGGGATTCTTTAGATGTGATTCCAGCATTACAGGAGATTGGACTAGATGACCCTCGTGGCTCCCTTCCAATAACAAATCTATGATTCTATTGCTGCTGAACTACAGCCTCTCTCTGTGTGTGATCTATCAACCCTGAGCTACCATCCCTGGCCACTGGATTTTCTGGCAGGGGGCTGATGGGAGTCTAACAACATCTTATGGGACTTTAACACCATTTTATGGACACTATGTTGGCTTCCCTTGAGCTATCCACTTCCCTTTGCTTGTTGACCCCAGTCTCCATTCAAGGAGCTACTGCCCATTGCCCATTCAACCCCCCACCCCCAGATTGCATCACTAGAGGAGTACATAGAAAGCTCAATATTGTCTGCAGCAGTGGTGGTCCACCAACGCTTTGAGCATCGCTGTGGTAGGAAATAAGGTCATGCTGCAAGATGGTCTTGCAGAACCCACTTGTGGAGAAGATTAAAACTCACCCTTGCTGCATAAGGCTGAGGTCTGGGCTGATTGCCCTAAAAGACACAGACACACACAACATTTTTAAAATATGTGAACCACTTTTCACTTCCCAAAGCAGAAATCTCTGCCCCCGTGTTCAGTCCTCTGTTTGTGACAGAGGGTGTCTTTCATGTGGACCTGCCACTTTTGTGGGGCGGAAGGAAAACCCTCAGTTACTGAGCAGCAAAAGGAGAAGA